TATCTGCCTTTATCTTTTGTCTCTTTCTTTTCCTGCTTTTACCCAAAACCTATTTTCAATGAAACCCATCACTGACAGCACAAGTATAAAAAATTCACCTCACACATTTTTTTGTTCTTTTCTGTTTCTCTGCTCTCCCCTGAGCTCAGAAAACTGAAAACAGAATGAGTCACGGCGCAGAAATCCAGCTAGAAAGATAAAGAAACAGACAAAAAAAAAATCACTCAGCTTTCACTTTGCTTGTGTAGCTGAAACTCTCCTGCCACCTGCCTGTTGACTTCTCCTTTCATTGTATCCTTGAATAAATTAATTTTGTTCTCCTGTCTGACGTACAGGTTCTGAAACATATTAGCTATCAGGCGAAATTTTGGAGCTTTGAGAAACAACCACATATAGCGACTGTCCGATGGGTTCCAGCTTCTCTGTTGTGACCACAACAAACTTTTAAAGGGGTAATAAGTTTGAACTGCTTCCGTCTGCCGGGACATATACGGGAAGTTTTTTATTCCCTATGCCATAAATTGAACACAAAATCACTGCATCTGGGAACACGCACTCGTTTCTTAATTTATAAGATTTTTGCTCTCTGGTATTTATTTATTTAACCTTGCTGCTACCTGCTCATTTACACTATTGTATGTCGTACATGTTGTATGTTTTTAATGGTGTGTTGTGTTATGTGGATTGTTTGTATTGTTATTGTAACTTCTTTGGGAGAAGCTGAAGACAAATTTCCAATGAGGTGGACAATAAAGTCAATCAATCAATCAATCAATTGCTAGGCTTTACACAGTACACTGTTTTCAGTAATAGCAGAGGCAGATTTTTGGAAATCTTAAGTCGTTTTTGAAACAATCTGTTACCTCACACAGGGGTAGACAAGCTAGCTTGTTAAGCTAACATTTTAGCTACTGCACATGACATGACTGAGATGCACAGAAACAATAAGTCAGTCACTGTGACAGATAATAAAAGTATGTAGAGGCTCTGCAGCAGAAACACTGACAGACAGGTTGACAGCGCGAACAGAACTGAAACAGAAACCGGGCAAGTTGATGGGAAGGTTGGCGTCTTTTTTTTGTTTTGTTTGTTTATTTGTTTTTTGACACAGTTTCATGGGGAAAAGAATAAATCTCCAACAGCTAAACAATATATGTTCTTAATTCAAATATACAAGGACAATTTCTCCCTTTCAACAAGCTAATTCAGACGAACTATGGTGGTAAATATTTCACTGACACTGATACTGATATAAATGAAGGAGAAAAGATACTGAGGAAAGTGAAACTTAAATTGCATCTTCAAAGTATTGAGCAATAAGCCAAAAACATGCACGGTTAAAAGACACTCCCTGGTTAATTTACTGGAAAGACATATCAGAAACAGTGTGGGGCAGTTAATTATCCTGGTTCGGTTTTCTCTGAAGAGCAGAGTTCAAACCTGATGTGTTGTATAACCGCAAATGCCAGAGCTCCAGCTGCAGCGAAGCGGTGATGAGGCCTGAGTGCTCTGGCCAACAATAGATGTGCAGCTTTTGTTAGCGTGTGACTGACAGGAAGAAACCCCTCCGAGCTGTCTGGGTCACCTGAACACCGGCCAACTGACAGCCAGGAATGGACCTCATTTCCATATGGCGGTTGTGGTCGTTTTCACGCAGAGGAATGTAATGTTTCGTCCAAATATCATCAATCTGTGTTATGTCAGTATGTGTGGAGGATGTATCAGCACTGAGCTATCACTGTCAGTGTATTCAAATGAGGAATCAAGACTCCTCTTCACCTCAGGGCTGCCGGTGGGTACAAGGTGACACAACATAGCGATGTGGGTGGTATATGTTTCTGTACGTGCGCGTGGGTGTCGGTGTGTGAAACTAGGACTCAGCATCACATACCTTATTTACACCAATGTAATACAACATGACATAATCCAAATGTATATATATATATATATATATATAATATGAAATGCATGGCAGAACAAAGCGAAATAGTTCAGACAGCAGCCGAGTTGAGGCTACTTAGTGCGCTGTAAATCTCAACACTGATTGCGGATGAGAGGAGAGGCTGATTTACTGGGATACAGCGTAGCTTCTTTTCGTAGGTGGAAATCATCCAAATGGTGCAAAAAGTAGCTCAAATAATCCCAACCTGCCCCAAACAATTTTTAATGTAGTGACACACGGGAAAATGGCATTTATCAAATCACGTTCCAACTTGATCTTTTCAAAAGTGGCAGCCCCATAATCAGCATCATTTATTTAACCTAACATTTTACAATGTCAGGTATAGCATACATTACATAGCATAAGAGAGTTTAGTTTCCTACAACATAGCCTAGATAAGCATCGTCCAGAATGCAGAAAGTGCAGTTACCAGTTCTGCCATTTTCAAGATGGCTCTGCTGCAACAAAATACAAATTCATTAAAAGGAGCTATTTGTAAGTTTTTCTCTTGCTACATAGCTAACGTTAGCATTAACAGCTTTTTACTTACCAGTCTTGCTAAGAGCTTCAGCCATCGTATTTAATAGACAAGAGGTTGTAATACATCCGTTGAGCAGCGCTAATTTTCCTGGGCTGACTGGACGTTACAGTGACTCGGTATCGGCAAGTGACGACCAAGCTGGGGCTAGCTGGTTAGCATGCTAATTTCAGTAGTAGCTGTTAATGCTAGCGTTGGCAATAGCAATAGCAATAGCAATAGTAAAATTTACAAATAGCTCAGTTAAATAAACAAACTCCACACAATACAACAACACGACAAGCATAATCTAATAATCTCAAAAACATTTGCTCAGATTGACAATAAGTGTTTCATAGTACTACAGTTTAACTGAACATTCACCATGGTCACTAAGCCCGTTGACATCTGGGCTCACACGCACACATACATCACTCACGCTACAGCTTTCCTTTCATTACGCAACACTAATCTGAAGCCTGAGCTCTGCCGCAGCCATTGTGTGGAAAGTGTGGAAATCCCTGGACTGCTGGCGGAACCGGTCATACAATAAGTATTATTCCAAAGCCAACACGTAGAGAAACAGATCAACAGGAATGGAAAGTTAAACATGTGAATGGATTGTAATTGGCACTGGCACACAGACGTTATGTTACGCTCACGATAGTAAAATCTTACTGGGAGAACAGTTTCTGCTCAACCTGTTCAACTACTGAGTTGAATTTATAGCTGGGAGGAGTCAAATAAAAGTTGTCAGAAACGACTGACTAATCTCTTGGAACAACAAGAATACAAAGATCAGTACTGAAGAGGAATTGAAGAAGAAACAGATTCGTGACATCAGACGACACTAAATCAATCCAGTGCTTGGATACACAGAGATTAGACCAAACCAGGACATCAGCAGCAGCAATAAGTCGCTCAGTTGAAGCATAAAAAACAAGTACAGCAGACTCAGTGTACAATGTATTTGAAGTATACAGAAGAACATGTTACTGTTTTGAGTGATGTTTTCCTTTGGTTATGTATATTGTATGTAAAATCCATTGAGTTGTAAAGAAATGTGCTATATATATAATAGTAAATAATAATAATAATAATAATAATAATAGATCTTCATGATGAATAATAATAATGATGATGAATAAATGTTTGTTTTTTTTAATTTCACAAACAAGAATTTGAAACATGTTTTCTTTTTCCAAAGTTCCACCTTCAGTTTTCATAAAAGAATTTGGGTTTGACTGAAGAAGAAGAAAAAGGGATGATGGACGGATCAAACAGGATGTGGTGACTTCTGCTAAGCTGTCTCTGACACTATAGATACCAGCTCAGGAACTGTTTCATTTGCATGCATCTATAATCCGCCCAGTGTATGTCACCCACAGATGCCCCCAAACATACACACACACACACACACACACACACACACACACACACACAAGATGGAGCAGCTGGTCACGATGCCATTCATCTGGACCGGAAATGTCCGATGCTGGAGGAGCAGCAGAGCAGATGTCAGATCTGGGTGAAACAGCAGCTGAAAACAAATCTCTGTTGTTTTCTATCAACACGTGTAAAGTTAATTAAACTTCTACCACCTGCACTTGAAAGGTGAGGACAGGGCCTCATCTACGCACAAGCATAAATTTTGGGCTGAAACAAACATGGCACATATCACCCTCTAGTGGATGAAATGGCGTTACAGGTCATTGCAACCAGGGAAACACTTTGACCTGAAAATATGTGGGTGAAAAGCAAGAGTTAACTGAGAATTAATTAGCTGATTAAAGGAAAGTATCAATAACACAATATAAAATTACTCCATTACAAGTTGAAAATTAGGAGCTGGTTTAACTACTTTATGGGTGAGTAGGTTAGTCCAGTGGTTTCCAACGGCAACATGAAACCTGAGATATGACAAATGGTCCCAATTAGAAACTGAAAAACACTTAATTAATATTTAATAATGCATTGTATTTTGCAAGATTATCACGTGTTTTTGTGTAAAATCTTAATCTGGAAAGCAACTTGTTAAATAAATGTAGTGCAGTAAAAAATAACTATAGTTCATAATAGTAGCATAAAGTGGAAATACTCAAGCACCTTGAACTGTACTGAAGTATAGAAGTGGAGTAAAGGTGCTTAGTTACTTTCCAACATTCACACTTAAGTAATATTGTAATTTCTGGTATTTTTTTTTTTTTTTTACAACAGTGCAATTTAGAATAAAGAACTTTCATTTGTACAAAGGTTCTTAAACGCAGCACAGTCACTCACATTCTTCAACGCCACATTCCAGGTAAAAAAATAAAAAATCTACCTGTAAACTGATGAGGGTTTGTAGAGAAAAGTAGACAAATGTTCCTGTGATTAACCCTCCGTGTAAAGAGCCGCCTGACCAGCTCTGCTCCCTCAGTTTATAACCATCTAATCATTAACTCATCCTCTAATCACCTCGCGGGCTGAAAGGTGATTTTACCTTCGTCCTTGTCGCAGGAAAAAAAAAAAGACACTGCTCCGCTTTTTTTCCCTCCAGTGTCACACACAGGCACCGACAGCTCCCACCGTAAATCGGTTCATCTGATCAATCAAAAGATGAAAAGCTTTGCACAGGTAGAGAAAGTGAAAGCAGGTAGAGAGGAGGTGATTTAAGAGCAGAGCCGACAGCCTCTTATTCACCTGAGCTACGCAGGTAAGGACACACGTCTTTGTTTTACAATGTTAGTGTTCGGTCAGTGTGTGTCGGTTTAATATTTATCTCTTTGACTTTAGACGTGGTGATAAGTTTTTGATCGATCAGCGACAGTCTGGTGAAACAACAATCTATGGCGCCCTGTATGTGCTGTATATATCCGGGTATTTGTTCTTTCTTTTACGCTGTTTTCAGCAGATTAGTGCGTTTTTAATGTGTTGATTCAGAACTGTTTTAAATATAAAACGTGTCTGACATAAAGAATGACACGACAAGTCTGTATAATATAATATAATATAATGAGTTTTGGTCATCAGAAGAAGTTTAAATTGACATTACTTGGTTTTTTTTTAATGGGATCAGAGATTTCTCAGAAATTAATAGGAAATTTAATGTAAGAATGGACCAAAACAGAAGCAATCTTACCTTTATATTTATATTAATGTGTTCACATGGGCTAAAGAAATATCTATAAACTCACACTCAACTTTCACCCTGTTTCTTTCCAGTCTCCTTTTTTTCTCTCGTCAAAAACACTGAAAAAAAATCTAAAATAGTAAAATAGTATTAAAAATTCGGGTGGAGAGTACGACTTATTTCAACTAAAGGTGCTTACTTCACTGATATTTAACAGACACTTCTGTGCTTCTTCTCGCCCTTTGCTAAAAGGATCAAATGAACAGACGACTTTTAGTGCATCCAAATTAATTACCCACACTTAGTAAAACTGTAATTGCACTGTGAACCCATGTTGTGGAGGATACCGAAGAAGCTGCTTGTTTACTTTCACTGAACTTATCGCCCACACACAGACGCCGAGTCTGACATTCAACACTCAATAAGACCAAAAGTATCTGCACAGTATATGCAACACTGCTGGACATGTCGACACACAGAGCTTCTGGATTTGTTGTCAATTGCAGTGGCCAAATATTAGTGCTATCATTAATATTAGGAAATTCTGCTCTCGAGTTCTTGCGGTTGCCGTTTCAGCAGCTTCTCATTGTCATTTACGTCTGCAGCTCTTAACACTTTGTTGTCAGGAACTACTCCGGCGGGTTGTTTTGTTATCTGTAAACAAGACTGATCCCCTCGTCCCCGCTGACTGCAGCGACACTAGCTAAAAACACACCTTCACCGCTGTTTCACATACAACTCCTGTCAGAGCAGAGTGCAGGCAGACATTTCCTCTGCTGGCTTCAGTCTTTAATCCGATGCTCTCTCCTCACAGTTGGATGTTAATCAACAGATGCGCTGACAGACACGATGGACAAGTCCACTAAAAGCCCGGAGGAGGACACAGTGTCCCTGAAGAGCAACGGGAAGATGCCGGCCTGCGGTGTCACGAAGGAGAAGCAGGGCATCATGCGGACGTTCAGAGAGAGCGTCCGACGCACTGTAGCGAAGAACCCACTTTCACCTGAAGGCAAAGGGTCAAAGGTCAAACCCAAGGAAGACACATCTGGAAAAGAGTTGGGGTTAAAAACGCCTCCCTCACCCAGTGAGTACCATCATGGTTTTCATGAGACACGGGATTTGGTGGAGCAGATACAGAAATGTTCTCTACCTGAGAGATAGAAACACGTGCCCTGCAGGCGCGAAGCTGGACACCAGCATCGTGAGACGCTGATATTTGGTTGAATGTAGGTTGTGACATCAGGGCAGCGTCCAAAGCCAACGTCAGTTAGACACAGAGAAAACCGACGACAGCTGACGTTGATAGTTTGTTTGGTTTAAAGTTGTTTTTGTTAAGGAACCAAAATCCTGCGTCTTTCAAACGTCCTATTCCAACGCCATCTTGACATATCAAATATAACAGTCTAGTGTTGAGGAAAACCTGCTCCAGAGTGCACGTGATCTAAGACTGGTCACCTTTCAGCATGACGATGACCTACAGCTCAGGTACAGCCAAGACAACGCTGCAGCGGCCCAGACTTCACACAGCTCCTTGAAGGTGGCAGGTCACAGACACTTCCCATCCAATTTGACAAAGTTTAAGACGAACTGACAGGAAGAATTTGATAAACCTCCTAAATCCAGGTGTGCAAAGCTTGTAGAGTCTCAGCCAAGAAGACTCGGAGCTTCTGCAAAGCACTGGTGTGAGGGTCTGAATACTTTTGTGAATTAGAAAACTCAGGGTTTACATCGTGTACAATGTGTGCAGAAAGTGAAGAGGTCTGAATACTTCCTGTATGGTACAGTATGAGGAGAGAGTATAGTTTGAGCTCAGTGGGAATTGAACTTCTAACCCAGCGAGCTACAGCGAGGCAATAACTGGAAAAACAAGCTAATATAAAATGCGATAAGGAATATCTCATTTTTATCAAACATCTGTCACTCTGTGTTCAGCTGCCTGTTTAGGTGAAGGTGCTTTGCCTCAACCTGCCTCCTTTTAATTCTCCTCAAATCAGTGATTTGACGGCTTGAAACGCTCGCAAGAAAATGTGTGTGAACTTGTTTCCCTCAGCTGTGGGTGATACTGAGTGTGTAGGTGGAAAGAGCAATGACGTGGGAGCATAGTGCAGAAAGAGCAAGAAAGCAGAGGAGAAAAAAGAAAGAAAGAAAAAAAAAGGCAAGAATCATTACACTTTCCTGAAAAACAAACCCTGTGTTGCTGCTGTGGATGAAGGAATGTGTCTCTGTGGGGTAGATTTGATTTGGATAATTGTTAAAACATCACTTCACTCTCTGTTATGGCAGCAAGAAATATCTGAAGGTGGTCGGCTTCTTTTGGTGCAAACAGCAGCAGATAAAATCCTGTTTGTTTCCTTCTTTTAAATTATTTTAAGGCAGAATAAACTACAGGTTCATTCTTTTGATAACTGATCAAATGTTAGTGATTTAAAAAAAAGAAGATTTTGTGATCATAAATTGATCATTTTTGAGATTTCGACCATTGATCAGATAACACAAGCTGAGGACACTAACATGGGTTTTTCACTATATTCTTGCAGAATTTATCCGTGGATCAAACGATGAATCGATAAATGAATTGTCAGTTGCAGACCTACATGTGCAAACAGGAGAAATAATTTTACAAATGAAACTGTCCAAAGCAGAAAGCAAACAGTAAACTATAGTGTGATGTGCTGTGAAATCCACCTGATCAGGTTTTAGAGCAGTCGCTCAAGTTCTTCCAGGCTTTTCCCCAGAAAGTACCAGAGCGTTTAAACATTCACTTCACTGTTGGATACGTGGCGTTTCCTGTATGACGTAGCATCACTGCTCATTAGTAATTTCTTATCACATTAATTTCTTATTGCTATTTACTACAGCTAAGCTAAGGTGCCTTCACAATTAAACACTTTGGGAAACAGGAGCTGATGAAACGTGTTGATAAAGTGAGTTCAAGTGCGGGACAGTGTGCAGGATTCTGGAGTTTTCTGACCTTCAAGACTAAAAGAAAGTTGGTGGAAGAGACCGACCTGTTTGGTTTGTTCAGTCTTTGTGTTTGTAAATCCATTCATCCACACCTTTTCGGTGTGGCCTGGCTATGAATGACTAACCTCGAGTTAAACATCATGTTAACTGTGTTGTACAGGAGATGATTGACACTGAACTCGTTGCTACACTTCGTTCCTCATGCAGTATTTGCTAAGCTCTTGTCTTTGCCGACTGTCAATCTGGAAAATCACAGTTATTGTTGTTTTCCAGCCTCAGATTTGTCCTGTGACCCTTTAATGAAGCAGATACTGAATCATTCAGCCTCATTTAGATCTCCTCTACTTCAAGTTTAATAGCTGTTAATAAGAGGCAGCAGCTCACATCATCATCATCATCATCATCAGTGAAATTGTGGCTCATTTGACTATTATCACTCATTATCTGAATTTATTCTAAAGCAGATGATTTCCAGACTGAGGTCTTGCAGCTTAGTGAGTTTGTGAGAGATGTTCTACAGAACAAAGATACACAACATAGATGCAGGAAACCAGTGAACGTTTTTAACTTCCCTTTTAGTCATACACATTTCAGCTCATTTCATCATTTCATTTTAGCGCAAGTCCTGCAGATACATTTAAATCGTTTTGTCCGTCAGCACAAACAAGGACAGACGGCTGTCAAACCTCGGCTGGTGACTTTCACTTTTCATTCTGGAGCAAAGCCAAACTAACCTGTGTGTTTTCATCACAAGTTAATCTTTGCATTCCTCTCTGGGTTTAGCTCTTAGGTCACAGTCAAGACAAAGTGCTGCCAAATCACACGCGCACACACACACACACACACACACACACACACACACACACACACACACACACACACACACACACAGACCCACATTAAGTGTAAATATGAACCTTGAGAAATTGAAACCGCATCAGATTGATTTCTTTTCCTGCTGCCTTGACAAAGAGAAAGAGACGTGATTGTGAAACCAGGAGCAGCAGAGCCAGTTCTGCTGAAAAGTGTTTGTGCTTTTATTATGACCCACCTCTCTCCGCCTCTCCGTCAGGTCCGAGCGCCGGCTCTCCGGTTAAATCTCCTCTGAAGATGATTGGAAACATCTTCCAGAGCAAACAGGAAGACGAGGGTGACGTCACTCAACAGAAAAGCAAACCTATAAAGCGAACAAAGACAGGTAAAGTGATTATTATTTAATGCTGGACAATAGATTTTTTTTTCTTGCACATAACTTATAATAAAAATATATATTTTCCTACATCACATACGGCCAAAGCCCATTCAACCACAACAAACAGGGGGAACCATTTCTCTATAGACATGTTGAAACAGGAAATGGTCAAACACAAACTGTGGCATTAAGATTTCACATAATGAGAACTAAAGGGCCTGAACCAAGCAGCTAGACCTGGAAGTACAGTACAAAAGAATGTGGAGAAGCCTGTCCACATACTTTCGGACACATACGTATAGTTTTGTAGGATTGCGCTGCTTTCCCGTTGTAAAGTAGTTTCCACCTTCATAACACCTGTGTTTCAGGTGTCGGAGTGAAGGTTCGGTCACATTCACAACACCAGCGTCCTGGTTGTGACGTGCGCGGTGAATAAATGTTGAGCAACCTGCAAGAACCCCAGCTTCTCTATTCCCAAATGCAGCGCATCAGTGCTCCTGTTTGCCGACCACGCACATCATGCTTACAGTTAAAAACACGAGCTGAACAAAGGTCGAACCCTGAACCGCACGTTTACTGGAGATGGTCGCACAGAGAAAGGAAACCTGCTGATTATTCTGCTGATCCTTTTCAGTTCAGGAACTTGTCACCACAGAGCATTAAAAAACAGAACTATCCAGGACAACTCACAGGACAGGATAATGAAGCTTTACTCTCTATATGTAGTTCTCATTTCTCATTTGGTTTCATCTGGGACTTCACAAAAGATTTTGCTCGCTATACTTGCTGCTCTCCTCCTTTCTAATAAATGACCAAAGGCAAAAATAAATCATGTCAAAAGGTGACATCTTGTTTTGTCTGAGCCACAAATCAAAAACCCAGAGAAATTCAGTTTCCAATTACACAAAACAGAGAGACGCAGGAAATCATCGTCGTCATCACACCCGACAGAAACTAACGCAATGAAATGAAAAATACTGTCATTGGTTTTGTTATAATTATCGTCTTTGGCCATAATGACCATGGAAATGAATCTTGATCACAGCAGATAAATTGACAGGTCACTGCAGTTGGAACACAGGTAAAATTAACATTAATAATATCTGTACAGAACCAACTGTGATGTTAATAGCTGCACCTGTGCTATTGCTGTGAGAAAACCTGTCATCAGATATCAGATATTGTCAGGAAGTTCATTATTGTGCATCACTGAAAGAGCAAAGCAGCAAATTCAAAGTTTCTATCAGTTAAAACTTCATTAAAATGTTTAAAACAATAAATGACGTCAAAAATCAAACCATGATCCATTCATTTGATTTTGAGCAGCGAGTTGACAACACAAGGAGCTGCTGACACGACATTAAAAAATGGAGGGAAAACAAAAGGCCGCGTCTGGGTCAGTACAACCCGGTGTCATGTGTTACTGCTGCGGTTACTGTGTGCTAACTGTGTGTTCTCCATCCTCAGATCCCAACATGTCGGCGACCCATGAATATTTCACAAGAGGAAACTTAACTCAAAGTTTGAATTTCGGCAGGAGGTACAAAAATAAAAACGCTAAAGAAAATAAAGCTGTCCCTGAAGGCACCTTGGAGGAGAAGGAGGAGGAGAAAAAGGAAGAGGTGCTGACAGAGGTCGAGGAGACGTACACACTGCCAGAAATACCCCACACTCTGCTGTCAGGTACAGTCTCGCCCGCACCTTTTCATACCTCAGGTAACCGAGGAGGGTTCCCTGGTGTGTCTCGCTCAAAGGCACCTTGGCGTCTCTTCCTCTGTCCATACATTCAACTTCTGCTTCTTTATCTCTCTCTGTTTTGGCAACAATAACACGAGTCTAATTCCTGGTGTAAATACACGGGGGTTCAGTCTGTCTGCAGACACTGACACCTCTGCCTGAAATATTTAAAACGCTCAAAGAAGAGTTATTAGTTTAACTATTGAAACAACAGCCACAAGTGATTTCCTCTCATGTTAATAATTAGAAGAGTTAATAGAATAATGATACATCATGTAAAAAATAATTCAAATACTAGTTAATGGAACGAATGAAATATGAAACAAGTCCGAGCCCACGAGTATGAAAAGATGCAGTGTGGCCCAAAAGGACAGGAAATAAATAAATAAATGATAATAATGAACTTTATTTATAGATCACTCTTCATACAAGAGATGTAGCTCAAAGTGCTTTACAATAATAAATGAAATCCTATAATTAAATAAGCGTGAATAGAAGGACAATGAAATGAGATAACAGAAAGACAGTAGATGATAAAATGTGTAAATGAAAATAGAAATAGAAACCAGTAAGAATAGTAAAATATGAAAGAATTAATTAAAAAATAGGTTTTCAGCTGTCGTTTAAAAATGTTCAGACCGCTTAAAGCTCCTGGCAGGTAATTACAGGGTTAAAGCTGCGTTGCCTGTTTCCTTGTACGTAAAAATTGTGTGTATTTAAAAGAGGATCGCAGAGCTCATGAACAATTATAAAATGACAATCTGCAATGTAAGCTGCTCCCAAACCATTAAGAGCTTTTTAAACAAGTAAAATGACCTTAAGATCTATTGTAAAAGATACTGGGAGCCAGTGGAGTGAAGCTGAAACCTCTTCCTTGTTTTAGTTAAAAGTCCGGCTGTATTTTGTGAGATTAACTGCTGTAACTGCATGTTGGGAAAGATGAAACTATTTTATTTTTATTTCCAGTGATGGAGATCAGCAAACTGATAGAGATGAAGGAGCTGGAGGATTCTCACCTTCACCTGCTCGCCCTGCGTCAGGAGTTCCAGCAGGAAAAGGAGCGCTGCGGCGAGGTTTCACCCGTGGAGTTCATGAAGAAGGAAAAAGACCTCAGCCTCCTCTATGGAAACCTGAGGAACAAGATCACCGCCATAGTGCGCGACTCCAACTCTCTTCCCTTCGGTAACGAAGAACTGCTGCTCCCCCTGGCCCGCATCATCCAGGAGGAGGAGAAGAGAGCTGAGGAACCGGGAAGTCTGCAGGGCAGCTGGATGGAGGCCTGGAGGGAGGCGGTGGGCGAGGGGGTGAAGGCGAAGCTGGAGAGCGTGCGTCTGGAGCAGAGTGAGCAGAGGGAGCAGAAGCCCTCCTGGCTGGCTGATCACCTGGGTTTGCTGGGTAAGACCATCGTGGAGGACTTGAAGAACGTGAAGAGGAAGCTGCGGTGGTCTTACCCGCCCAGCTTCAAAGTCTTCGGCACCTACGTGACGAGTTACCACCGCGGCGTCGCGCAGCATCTGAAGAAGCTGGAGCAGCAGGCGACGGAGCTGAGGGAACTGTACAGTCTGCTGGACTGGATCATCAACATGTACAAGAGGTCAGAGCATCAGCACGGCTGTTTTTCAGAAACACAATGACATATGTGAAACACACGTTGACACCTGCTTTGCTTATGTAGATGATAATGTAATAATTAAAGAACACTGAAAAAAAATCTTATTTTTAATAAAAATGCCTTAGTCATCCGGAAAAGCTTGACTTGAGAGAGTCAATCAGTGCTTTCCTAATCAGCTAGCTACCATACTATAATTTAAAGGTCCCATACTGTCTAAAGGTAGATGTCCATGTGGTGTTTGATTATAGATCAGGTCTAGCTTCTATATTAATACTGTGAAAGTATCAAGCGCTCAGTCCACAGAGAAATGCACACAGCCTGTATTCAGAAACTGAGCCTTAAAACCAGCCGTCAGGACTTTCTGTAACTTTGTGATGTCACAACTATAGTATATAGTCACTGACCTCAGTTATGCCCCAAGCCCCGCCCACCTGGCCCCACCATCCAACCTTGCAGGATTTGTTTTCTCTGAGTGTTTTTTTTTTCCATATATATTTTTTTTATTGGGTTATCAAGATACAACACATTTCCTTTAGTGAGGATACATTTCACCCATTTTCTCTGAGTGTTTTTACCTGAAATTGGACATATTTTTATTCAGTCACTCAGAAAACAGTCAGCCAATAAGAAGAGAGGCACAGACCCTGCTCTCTTCTGATTGGATCACTGATCTGTTATTACTAGAGCTCCAGAGATGAAACCTGAGAGAGGAGATGTAAAACTACATTGAGATGGTTTTTATATCTTCTTATGGATCAACAATTCAAATAAAACACTGGTGAAGTGTAAATTATGACTTTAAATATAGAAATACATATAAATTTAAGTTACACAACTTCCATTTTTTGTCGCTTTGTTTCTCACTCTAGAGCATACGGTCCACATTTGCTCCATAAATCATTTGTCATGAATGGCTTTTTGGTTTTATGATGGCGCCCCTTGTTTCACGTTAAACTATTCGATGCCCGTCTACATCGAGAAGACATTAAGATACAGCAAACTAAATTGTGCATGAAGCAGGAAGGTCAGTCACAGTCACACTGAGCTACTCTGTTAAGACTCCTTATCTAACATACAGACATGTACACACACGTCTTGCCTCTCCCTCGGCTTGTTGAAGGAGCCACCGCACAAACATTCACCAGGGGAGAGAGCACTGCCAACCTCAGTTTGCAGCCTAGATAGCTAATTAGCTGCAGCTCATTAAGCAGCATGTAAACGTAGCTGCTAACGTCACTGCAGTTCAGTTTGATGCGTTTGTTGTTCTCAGAAAATAACAAAAGTAGATCCGATTGTCTTCCTGAAGAATGTTTACAGTCTCACACTTGCAGGACGTTTCACCAAACACATCTTAAAACACTCGACTGCATACAAAAGATGAGTTCACAGATGGTGCAGACAGATTTAGTGGACACCTTACACCACCTAACCACCACAGCGGGCGTGAGCTGGAGAAGCAGCTGAAAAAGAGGCAGCACTGCTGACATTATTCGTTGAATCAGGCCACACCAAACCAAAAAACTGCTCAAACCAGCGTTAGGGAGACCAAAAATAAACAGCTGATCTGATAAAGAGGCACAACACTCTCCTGAGGCCGAAATGGAAAAATATAATCAGGTCACGTCCACGTTTCTCACAGATTATGTAAAGCAGCTTTTTATACTGTATACCATACCTCATGTACTTTAACTGACTTTTCTGTGTTGTACAAATAAGTTAAAATCTCATTACATGCAGTAAATCTTCAGCAATGGTGATTGGATTTTCATGAACTAAAAGAAATGATTCACTCTTCTTACACATTCTTTTATATTTGTATGTTTTACCTTTTTTTTTAAACCTTTATAACTTGTTTTAATCTATTTTTTGTTCCTTGTTTTTCAAATCCCTTCATACCACAAAGTTGTGATAAAATCTGAATTGTTCCCCCGACATGAGGCGACACGTCCTGGACATTTAGTTCAGATTGCAGCTCAATGAAATGGTTCTTGTTTCTCCCCGACAGCGAGAGCATTATGGGAAGTCAGTGCCTGCAGCCGGATATGAACGATGAAAGCACCGAGCTGCAGCTGGAGGAAAACTTCCTGAAGCAGCTGAAAGACAAATTCTGCAGCAGAGCGAAGGTGAGGGACACCGACGTCACATGGGCCGTAATTGTCCTGGGTGTTTGGGGATTTTAGTAACCTTGTGTTCAGTATTCAGTAGTGTTCAGTATTTCTCCATGAGAGTTAAAGGAAACAGGCCCTTTAGTCGAAATAAAATGTTATTTTATGTGATTACATGTAATAATTGTAACGTTTCAGATTTTCCACAACAGAGTGGAGAAAAGAGAGTTACACATATTAAAGACTAATGACCACGCTGATGGTTGTTTCACTTAATAGTGGAGTTGAGATATAAATATTGAAATTGTCGCACATTTCTCCCAACACTCACCTTGCTCGGCTTTTCTCCGTTATTGCAGGACGACATCCGGTTTTCACTCAACAAACTCATTGAACTTGAAATTGAAGAATTCTGGGGGGTCAAAAATCATCCAGTAACGGAGGAGAACTACTTTGACTCTAAGATGCATATGGACATCTGGACGGTACGACACTGTCACAAGATATTAGAGATGAGACATCACGTTTCCTTCATGTGAAAACCAAAACAACAAATCCAATTGCATGCACTTTTATATTAGAAGACGTTAATTTATATGACTTAATTTAGCTAAAAAATACTTTAAATTGTTTTTGTTTGAAAAAATATTTTTAAAAAAACAGGTAATTAAAGACCTACATATTTATAAATGTGTCACCTGTGTTGTTAGACCTGATGATGAATCAGATATGCTTGATTTGTTTTCTTTTCCTGGTCCACCGTGTTGTAGTACAGTGTTTTGTCCACGCGGTGGCAGCAGAGAGCTTCACCTGTACTTCACCATCACACTGTAACTCAGACCGACTCTGCTTCCTCTCCTCAGAGAATGGAGGGAGCTGTTCAAAACTCTCGAGCAATTGATGCCCAGCTGGAACAGAGAGTCACGTCTTCCTACCTCGAGGAACTGAAACCGTTTCCTAAACGGTATGTCAGCACAACAAAAAAAAAACGCCCCAATAAATGAACAAATGTGCGCATCTTATTAATATTATGTGTAGAAATACTAAATGTTTTGAGTTATTTAGACAAATATTTAACAGGCAATGTGATGTCACAGAGGAAGATTGTCACCTCTTTGCCCCTCAGTTAAAACAGCAGCATTTAAACAGAAAAACAAATGAATTAATGAATTATTTATAAAGCAACGTTTGTGCGAACAATACAACACGACGTGAATGCGATGTCTCAGTAATGCCTTCAAATTTAGCACAAACATTCATTTGGACTTGAAGATGAACTGATTAGAATTTGGTGGTCAAAGGTCAAAGGTCACTGTGACTTAAAAAACAAACACATTTTTGGCCATAACTCACAAATTCATTCTCTAATTTTGCCATAATTTAACTCTATAAGTTAAATGTAGTGATGATAGTTTATTTCCCAAAAAACCCCCCTGGTCATTATTCAACACAGGAGGGAGAGATTTTAGAGAGAAAATTTACTTTCAGTCATTTTTGCTTATCAATTTTTTCGAAATAACTTATTTTAGTATCTCTAAGAGCGTTATTGGTATAGTGTATTAAAAAATAATATTGATGAAGTGCTAAAAGAGGAAGGTGCAAGTGTGAGGAGGGAACCTACCCACTGTTGCACAGAAAAACAAAGCAAAACAAAGCAAAAACAGGATCCTGCCCCTCCGTGCAAAAAACAGAGTTATTGCAATTTTCTATTAAGCAATGTGAGAATATCTCCACTGTCTGTTTTTAACTTCATCACGCCACCCCACAGTTTTACAAATAGAAAGGTCTTGTGAGAAATCATGTGTCTGTTTTCTCCCCCGTCGTTCTTTAAACCATAATAGAAAAAGATCCGATGAGACTCCCAACTCCTCCTCTTCCCTCAGAAGATATAATATTTCCATGGCATTAAATATCCACTAACATGAAAAAGGAAACACATAAACACAGAGATGATCTATTTAAATAAACACCTGTGCAGGTGATACAACTGGAAGAAAACAGTCTGAGAATATTAAATAAACCTTAACTCTTCACCGCTCCTACAAATACAGACTTCATGAGGACGCCATGAACATTACACCCACATGTGATGCACTCTCCAAACCATAACATAAATGTAAATGTAGAGTCGGTTTTTCGGTTTCAGGTCAAAGATTTAAGCTCATTATATTTTTTTTATTATTTTATGTCTTAACTAGTGTCTATTATCTTGTTTATTTTTGTGATTCTTATGTGAATTTCTTTAGTGGGACTAATAATCAACCTACATAATGTAACCTAAATATTGTCAGACGTTCCAGTTACTTTGTCCAACTCTGTGATTATTATGTTTTTAGAAATAAATGGTAAACACCCTGTTGTGGATCTGGGAGTTTGAAACCCTCTCAGTCGTCTGACAGGCTAATCTCCTCTTCCCTCTGCAGGTTTGAGTTGGAGTTCAACCGTCACTGCGGCACTCTCAAACCACAGCCTCTTTGGACAGAGTATCAGATAACGTACATCAACACCTTCACTGTTTTACAGTAAGTCACATGACTTTCTGCACAGCGTGGAATCTAACCTGCCCTGCAGAGCATTTACAACTGCTGCAGCAGAAATGAGAGTATGGGAATGTTAATTAAGATCCTGATAAAGATGTGTGATTTAAGATGCACTTAGTTTAGTTTTTAGAGTCCTGGTTCTTCACAGGAGGAAGAACGCTAAAAGCAAACTCATTTTGACCTTCAAAATAAAAGCTCAAAATGTCTACAAATACATTTATTTATTTGTATCCACCACAAAAGAATTCAACATTATTGTCCAGCAGAGTGAAAATTATCTTCAGCCCAGCAGCACAAAAACATCATGAAACATGTAGAAAAAATGTAGGTGTAAAACACAGTGCAAAAGTGAAAAATACAAATGCAATACATTAAAATGTAAAATAAAACACTGCAGATGCCTAATGCATAATACTCGGTGTAAGAACATGCTGCTGTTTCCAACTATAAACAAACATGAGCTTTTATTTTGAAGGCAAGCCATGACATAAGTTACTTTAACATAAACCTGGACAGTTTCACAAACTGTCTTCGTCAATAATCCTGTTCCTGTTGATTTTAAACAGTTTGTGTCTGTGTCTTGATTGAAACGGTTAAGGGCACAGACTGTGGAGCGGCTTTTGTTTGGATGATTCATCCCTGAGCTATTCTTCGCTTTGCTCAGCGTTCGTGCCAACACATCTTTCCACTGGCTCGGAGTTGTTCGGAGGACTGCTTCTTTAAAATGCACAGGACAGGTTCCCTGAATACCCATTTAAAATGAGGTCATGCCACTTGCTTTTCTTTGGAAGAGAAAACAACAACGTGCCAGGCCCTGGACTGGGACCCGCCTGGTGTGATTTCCGGGAATCAGGGCCGCGAGCATGAAGCGCTGCTGCATTATGAGCAGGGGAAAGAGAAAGCACAGAGAGCAGACTTGACTGTGGAACATCCAAAACCACTCCAACTGCTTCTGACAGTCACAACACAAGCAGTTGTGGGTCGTGTCGGGTCATTCACAGACGTCTGTGTGTGTCTGCTTTCTCTATCTGATGCTGCAGAGCTGGGCTGAGCAGAAAAGCACTGTTCGCTTACTTTCAAAATCTGACAGTCAAGAAACTTGCTGAATTAAAGAGCAGTGTTCAAGAAATTATGTCCAAAACAAACTAAACTTTTTTTAATTAACATAATCTGTAGGTTTTAAAACCTAAAACCTGGTTTCAAGGGTTTGAATATTCAGTAAAAGTATAATTTAAGTGAGAGAATCACTGGAACAAGAACGTCAGAAAACTTAAGGAGGAAAACATTGAGAACACTCAAGGATGAGACGCTAAAATTAAGTTGTGTCTGTTTCCCGGAAAACACAAGATGTCAGATGTCAAAACAGAAAAAGGTTGTTTCGTGTGGGGTGGATTTTATTTACAGTCAAGACGGGTTGACAAGACGGCAAAAGCCAAGAACTCTAAGAACTGTGAGGTTTTACAGTTTAAACAACAGATGTAATTTACAGTTTATCATTGTTATTGTTTATTATCTATCATCATGGTGATGTCTCACGAGGACTGAGAACCTCTCGGGTCTTTTATCATCACCCTTGGATTCCCCCGTTCAGCTTTGTGGCTTAAAGGCGGGGGGGCATTTAAAAATGCTCCTCTTTTAGAAGGAAGTGGTGTCCATGAAAACAATTCACATGGAGTTCATGGAGCCGAGGAAAATGGGACTCTGTTTCTGGAAAAAAAAACACATTCCAGTGGAGTCTGTGGAGACGTCAGGGAACTGAAATATCTCAGCTGCTACTGGATGGATTACAGTGTGATTTCACACACAGATATTCATGCTCTCCAGAGGACGAATCCCACTGACTGTGGTGATTCCCTGAGTTTTCCTGTAGCGCCACCATGAGGTTGAGAAATATCTCAAACCCAAAAATATCGAGAAACACTGATCTGATCTTGTATTTGAAAAACTTAGACAATAATTTGTATTTAAGAACTTAATTTGGAAAGAAACGAATAAATAAGCGTCTAAAAATTGTACTTCAGCGTCACGTTTTTCTGACCAACTAAAGTAAGTCAGGTGCAGATCACGGGAGGCGAGTTTTTACCGACTGAAACGTGCCAGTGCTTTACAATAATCTAATATCATGTTACAAAGTCAGAAACTGACTCTTTCCCATGTCGTGTTTTTCCCCCTGCAGGCAGCACATGGAGGGATACCTGGCCACCTGTCCAGGTGAGGTGGAAGACTTCAGAATAGAGGTGAAGCGTCTGATTGTCAGGCTGCTGCAGGGCCTGGAGGACCAGTTCAAAGAGGAGGTCAAGGTAGGATAATGGACCAGTGTATCAGATAATGTAAGGGTTGTAAGGGGAAAACCTGATTCTGGTTTTCATCGAATCATTTCCTCAAAACCCAGCAGCCGTTTTCTTTTGTGGTTAATAAAAAGGGAATTGAAAAGCTACTCCTTTCCTGAACCTCGAATGAAAAACATAATTACTGCGTACAACAGGACCTAAGTCGTGTGGTAAATTACTAACCAGAGATGAACTGATAATGTCTCCACAAGTCGCCCAATCTAGAGGACAAAACAGGGAACTGGTGACTTCCTTACATGTTAACGTTTAGGTAATGTTTGATTAAACTGAGGAAAGGCTGTAGTCATGATAAAATAAAACAGGGCACGCAAACACACTTCTCTTTTTATATCCAACCGCTCACACAAACCTCCTCCACATAAAACTACAAACTAAGTCTTTTTGTTCTTTGATCTTTTGATCAGTCATAATTCATTTCCACATGAGGAAAATATAAATATTATGTTCTCTGATCTGAAAATATCTGTCAAACTACAGAACAGCCAACAGGATTATCGACAGTCACCAAACAAACTCCAGTGGTAAAGATGTTTCGCTGGCCTAAAAGCCTAATCAGCTGGTGGGGCTACAATTAAATAAATCTTTTCTTTATTAAATAACATACATATTATTTTCTCAATTAATCAATGAATCGCATATAAAATATCAGAAAACATTTAAATGTGTCGTCAAATTACTTGCTTTTGTCCGATCAACGGTCTAAAGCTCAAGGACCGAACTCCACATATGTGAAATAAACCTATGGCGGGAAATTACGATGAATGAAAACATTAATTGCATCGTTTTCTTCTTATTTACACATCCATCCACCCAAACCTCAAACTACGACTGCTGATGAAGAGGCGGCAAGCAAGTTAGTGAAGCTTGAGTGGAGAATGAAACATTAAACGATTCATTTAATTTAATTAAATGATTCCTGATTAAAATCATCGTTCAAGAGGTTAAAATCCAACCTGCTGCACATGTGAATCCCTTCAGCCCGAGGCAGGAAATGGGAAAGTTACAGGCGTCTAAATAAGCAAAAAATTAAAAAAAAAACATCCCATTGTGTCGTGATTGTTTTGCAAAACACGTCTGCTGTTCTTCAGTTTGAACCACCTGTCTGTTGTTTCTGTCCAGCCCTATCTGAGGGGGATGATGACGAGGAAGTGGCTGAATGATGACAGCGACTTCACTCAGCTTTACAAACGAACAGAGACTCTTTCCCAGCACTGCGCTCACATGAGGCCTCCGCACCTCCAGGTGAGGAAAACAATGTCAGCGGGCCGACCGACTTCGCTGAAGTTGCCAGCGAAATCATTAAACACACAATAACGGCACATGAATCATAATCACGATTGGCTGCTTTCCAAAGAAAATTATCTGATTAAATTCCCAGACAGGGTCAAAACTTTACTGGCAATTTCCCCGTCCTCAATAGACAAACCCAAAATAACTGGGGTCTCCAATAAAATAAAATTAAAAATGTAGGCTTGGTTTAATGAGCACAAAAGATGAAGAATATGAAATATAAAAATTATCTACTGAGAAGGTTTTCTCGCTGTAACGGCTTCGGAGGTCTGCAGAGGAAATCCTTATTTACTTTTCACCAACCCTCTTGGAAGTTCCAATGAATCAATTTGGGCACCATTGTTTTTGGCCGGATGCCGCAACTGCAGAAAACATCTAAATTAGAGGATTAAACTGTGACAGCGGGACGAATGAATAGGTGGAAGTGGAGGTGTCAGCTCAGATGATCCGAGAGCTGCTGGTCGTGTGATTGATAAAAAGACAAATGCCTCCTGACCACATTTAATGTTTCCCCTTTTTTTTTGTGCCTATCCTGTTTTTCTGCCACCTCCCTTCTTCTCTGTGTGTGTGCGCGCACGTGTGTGTGTGTGTGTGTGTGTGTGTGTGTGTGTTTCCCGGCGACAGGAGTTTGCAAGTCGGTTGCACTACCATGTGGTGAGGGAATACATCGGCCAGCTGATGAAGAATAACTACTCGTGCAAGAACCGGAAACACGAGAATGCTGCGAGCAAGATCCGTCACCAGTGGAATAAACTCGATGACGTGTTTGATGATATGGTAAAAAAAAACAAACAAAAAAAAAAAAACAACAGAACTTGTTTTTTTTTCTTCTTTCCTGCCTCATTCATCATTTCATGACCCCGTCAGATTTATCTTGTGACCCTTTGAAAGCTCCACTTCCAGCAGCTGCAATAAAATGCTGCTTTACACATTATTGCATCAGTAATCTGATAATGTTGCAAACAATAATAATAATCAGTCACAAATGCAATTTTACTACTTTTACTGAAAGCACATTTTACTGAAATATTTCTTTTATTTTTACTTTTCCTTTCTTTTTTTTGTTCCACTTTTTTTACTTTTAGTTGTATAAACAGATACTTTAGTGGTTTATTATTGCACTTGAGACAGAGTCAGAAGTTTCCTGACCTTTTCAGTGATGAATAAACGGACCTTTTACGTGTAAGTTAGTCAAGTTCCTCTTTAAAGGGCTGTATTCTGAAAAAATGAACATAAGCACCAGTAAATCCTAATTTGTTTTAGCAGCTCTTCCTGTTCAAAGAATTAAAATCAAACTCAAACTTAGCAGCAGCTCCGTCATTATTATTGTTTTTTCTGTCGCAGGAGTTGACTCACGAGTGGCTGCAATCAGTAGGAGAAGACCTGTGTAACATCATCGGACAGAAGAACAAGACGGACATAAAGAACCACATTGAACCTTTAGTGAGGCAGTACCCCGACTTCAGGTGAGCATGAAGAGCAACTCACTCATTAAGACGCGATCATTCTGCAAGAGCAAGATGTCATGACAACAAATTCAATCCAAGAAAAGTCCGTGTCACTCACAGTCTTTAGGACTGGGTCAAAGCCGAGACGTGCCCATTCTTGTGTCCGCATCAAATTAAATGAACAGAAGTGATTTTATATATGTAAATAACATCTCAAATAAAACTACAACCTCTACCTTAATGTTTCAAATAACTTTTGAGACGATAAAGTGTCAAAATATGGATGAAACCGTCGTTCAGTGTAATGGTCCGCACTTCGATTTTACCATTACATCTTTAAATAAACATATAAAACACCTAGTAGAAGTATAGATTGATTTCTTTTGGCATGTTCAAAGGAGAACTGGCAGTGTTATATTAAAAGAACCGGCAGCCCGTTCTTCACAAACCAGGCCCGACATGGAGGTTAACTGCTTGTGTGGAAATGCAGCGGTTTTGAACAAGTCAAACCAACGAAAAAAAACAACAAAAAAAAAAGCACAGAAAAACCCCAAAATGAAAACTTTTAACCAACATCCTGATTTTCATTTGTTTTTGAAAGACTTAAAAAATGTCAAAGCTTCCCTTTTGTGATTGTGTCAGTAGTCATTTCTGTTTAGGTGGTGGACAAAGGTCGGCTGATTGACCTCATTAAAATCCCCGTTTGGACTTTAGTGAGCCGAACTGGACGTAAAACATTATCACCAGGAGAACGAGGAGGAAGTCAAAGATGTTTAAGTAAATGATTTAACCGAAAAACAGAGAGCAGAGATCATTTGGCTGCATCCGGTGTTTACATAAAAACAAACACACACAACGTTTGTACGTGACTCTCAAAGGACATGTCATGTTTTTGATACAGATGGAAAACTCGCTTTGGGGCGGGACCTCTGAAATCACGTGTTATAAACAGCTGAGTGGCAGGTGATGAGGCTGCAGACATGTGAGGGGATTAATCAATTAAACAGGAAAAGTAAAGAGAGTGATGATGCAACAGTGTCAATGTTGAGCTGAGATCACTGAAATGCATTCAGATTATTTCACTGGTGAGGTAGCTCCCTTCAGCTCCCTGATGTTGTTTTTATGTTGGTTTAAAAATTATAAAGTTGCTCCCTTAAACTAAAGCTGAGAAAACTGATATTTGCTTCTTGAGCCCCAAACTTTAAGATGAAATCTTGACTTTGTATTTTAAGGCAACACCAGCTCCACTCAGATCATGTTTCCTCCATCAGTGTCTCCTTCAGAAACACTGAACAGTCTTCAACAGTGGAGAAGAAACAAAGTCTTCCCACCAGTTTCCTGCTCTGAAGGAAACATCTTCACTCTTCATCGTGGGCAGCGAGACCAAACTCTTTAGAAACACATTTCTCAAGTCAAGGACTAAAGAAATGATCCCTGAAAGTATAGTCTTGGTTTGTTCTGGATGTTTCTCAGGGTCTTATATCTACAGACGACCACTTTTACTCCTGGTGGAGTCACGTGGAGCAGGAGGACACACCTCCTACGAGCACAGCTTCGTCTCCAGCTTCGTTATCTTTACTGTTGGAGCTTCACTTGTTAGAACTAATAACTATGAATCACTTAGAAGTTTCTCTTTATTGTCACTTAGCGTCTTTCAAAAAGATTTGGAGATGACAGTAACATTCGTTTCAAAATTTATGTTCGATTGAAACCTTGAATTTAATTTTAGCTTTAAAAATCCCGTTGTAGTTCATTGTAAGAAATGTTGGACACGTCCAGCTGTGATGACAGAGAAGACAAAGTGATAAATATCTCACGAAAAGAAGAAAAGAAATCAAACAAGAAACAAGTAAAAAGAGTCGAGGAAAAAATTATTTATATGAACTAAAAGTAAAATATTTTCGGACCAAAATTCAGAAATGAAAAACACAATTTGCAGCGATCACATACACAGGTGAACATCACTACTGGTTACTTTCATTTTGTTTTGTGTGTTTGACATTTTTGGCTTTTAATTCACATTTACTACTAGAAGCTACTATTCTGCATTTTGAGTAAATATACATTAACAAGCTGGAGATCACTGACTTGTTTTTAAATTCTAATGTTGATTAAAAACCTTTTTTTAGTTTCACTTTATTAAATAAGCAGCTGTCCACTCAGATCATGTTTCCTCCATCAGTGTCTCCTTCAGAAACACTGAACAGTCTTCAACAGTGGAGAAGAAACAAAGTCTTCCCACCAGTTTCCTGCTCTGAAGGAAACATCTTCACTCTTCATCGTGGGCAGCGAGACCAAACTCTTTAGAAACACATTTCTCAAGTCAAGGACTAAAGAAATGATCCCTGAAAGTATAGTCTTGGTTTGTTCTGGATGTTTCTCAGGGTCTTATATCTACAGACGACCACTTTTACTCCTGGTGGAGTCACGTGGAGCAGGAGGACACACCTCCTACGATCACAGCTTCATCATTGACGAGCCTCTTATTTTGTAGTGGAGAGAAACTGACAGTGATGAAACACTGTCTGAGGTTTACATCCAAATGTAGAACAAAGTTTAACTGAATTTGCAGAAAATCAGCCAAAGAACATGTGAGTTAAAGATCATTTCCATCCACTACTGTTATCCCAACATTAGGAGTTGGTTTGTTATATATAACATATAAAGGTGAAAAAATCCTGGAGCCAATTCAAGAAAGATAAAAAGGACATTTACTCTCCTACATGATCAATACCTGGTTCAGGAAGACACAGCTCCTCCAGATTCAAGTCACTTTATTTATAGAGCTCATTTAAAAACAAGTAAATCTGTCAGTGATGAAGCTGTGATCGTAGGAGGTGTGTCCTCCTGCTCCACGTGACTCCACCAGGAGTAAAAGTGGTCGTCTGTAGATATAAGACCCTGAGAAACATCCAGAACAAACCAAGACTATACTTTCAGGGATCATTTCTTTAGTCCTTGACTTGAGAAATGTGTTTCTAAAGAGTTTGGTCTCGCTGCCCACGATGAAGAGTGAAGATGTTTCCTTCAGAGCAGGAAACTGGTGGGAAGACTTTGTTTCTTCTCCACTGTTGAAGACTGTTCAGTGTTTCTGAAGGAGACACTGATGGAGGAAACATGTTCTGAGTGGATGTTATGTAGCTGTAAAAACAAAGTGTTGGCAAAAAACCTTTTTAAAATGCTTCTTTCTTTTTTTTCATACACATTTAACAGCCCAGTAGTTTTCCAGTTTACACAAACTGCGCTACAGTCAATGTTTTGTGATGTAACTTTCTGTGCTGATAGAAACATCTTGACTCTTTATTGAGGGCAGATGTCTGAGTCTGTTTGCTCCAAGTGCAAGTCTCTAAGTCAGGAAATGTGTTGCTTCATTGACGATGCATAAATATGTTAAATCAAATGTGGTTAACCCGGACTGTCACATAAAACCAGACCAGCGTGTTGTGTTGTAGTAAGAGATGAAGTATCACAGCAAACCCCCCGAAATACACCAGTCAATAGAAGTAAAAGATAATCTGAGTTATTTTACTGTGACGTTAAACACTGTATTTTAATTAATCAGCTGACACCACGGCACCAAAATCTAACATCTTTAATCAAACCTTCCATATACCTGTTTCTAGACTCTGCTCTTTACCCTCCAACTCCACACGGCCAAGTACCACACGCCACAGAAACACGAAGCACAGCCAACATTCACTAACAGATGTTTTCAATTATGTTTCCTGATTACACCTCCTGTCAGAGCCAGTGTGGGAGGTTTCTGCTGCTCCTCGCAGCTTTCTACATGTTTCTACCCTGAGGACTGAGTGTGTGACTCTCAGCAGCAAATGTGCATGTGTACCTCATTATACCACGTTAATGTTCGTTTGGCGTTTTAACTGTAATTATTCACATCGATCTCTCCACTTGTAATTCTAAGTCAGAGGTATCAGGACTTTATGACACAGTGTTATCTCCAAGTGGCAACAACCTCCTCCTGAAAAATGAAGCCAATATGGAAGTGCCGAAAACTGCAGTTCCTCTAACGACCACTTGAGGCTGACTCCGACAGTGAGTCAATCCCCCATAGACTCCCATGTTAAAATGTCCCACTTTACACCGGAAATAAACCTGGTTTTGGTCACTTCATGTTATTCCCAGTTTTGCTTCGTCCAACTCGAACCCTGAGGAAACGTCTAATCATAATCAGAGTAACTGCAAACACCTGTGTGTGTGTGTGCGTGTGTGTGTGCGTGTGTGTGAGTGTGTGTGTGCGTGTGCAGGAGCTGCTAAGATGCTGCACAGGGCTCATGTGCTCTCCTTCACCCTTCACTTAGTTTTGTTGCAGCTTAAGCCTCTGTCATATTTATTAGCACATGGAGTTTAACAGAGCAAAGGTTAAATTTCCAGCAGAGTTGTTCACAGATTCCTGGCGCACAAACAAACCTCCTGCAGCCACAGTAACAAACAACTTTTCCCCTCCGGCCTGTGTTAGAGGAGGGAGAACTGCACCGGTGTAACAAAGACCAGTTTGAGAAGCGTCCATGAGATTAAAGGCTGATCAGATGCCAAAACTTTGCATGAGAGATGATTTTATAACTCTGGAAAGTTTTTCCTCTCCATATCCATGATTCATATTTTACTAAATCCCTCGTTGTCGGGACTGGGGCTGCAACATATTGTTTCATTGTGTCACAAAATAGTTAAAAAATAAACTAAAAATGTTCTGTTCAATCAAAAGTCTGAAAACCCAAAGATATTCAGTTTATAATGACATGACAAAAGAAACCTTGAAAGTATGACTCAACAATTATCAGAATAATCAGAAAAAATATTCTTCTGTTCATTAATTGATTAATTGACTAATGATAAAGCTGCTGTGGCAACACAGTGGTCTCACTGAAATACATGTGACACTGATGTGCAGAGTACTAAAAAAGAAATATTAAAAGACGTAACGTTACGAGGGGCATTTCCTTCGAGCTGGCATCAGTGTAATGTCAGACAGACATCGGACTCTAACGACTCTCACGACTCCACTAGTTTAGTGTTTTAACCACGAGTGTTTCCGTCCATCTGCATAAAAAACCCCTGAGTGGAAACCCTGGGAAATCAAAAAGATATTGGAATATCTCAAATGTTTTTACCCTCTGAGGTGGAAAAGTACATCTGTAGATAAAAGCAACAAAGTGCCATGAAAACACAATTAGTGAATAAATCACGACGCAGATCTGTGTGGAGCGAGCTTAAATTAATTCATGAAACAAACATTAATGCCAAATTTCCATCACATCCTCTACATTGTTTTGCACCATTTGAGGTTTAATTGGCACACCCAATGACATCATTGTTTAGCATTTATCTCAATTAACCAACTCTAAATGATAGATCATCAGGAGGAAGCACAAATTTGTTTTTATGAAGTAAAGATAAGGAGTTGAGAAAAGCCTGAGAACAAAGCGAAAGCATTTCAGCCGAAATATATCTAAAACGGAAAGTCCACTCAGATCATGTTTCCTCCGTCAGTGTGTCCTTCAGAAACACTTATCTTCACAAACTGCTGCTGTGGTTCATTTTCAGATCAACAAGCGCATGAGCATGAAAACTGATCAGTGTTGTGTTTCTTTGTTCCTCACCAACCTGCAGCAAGAGCCACCTGGTTGCTGTCCTGAACTTCAGAGGCCTGGTGAGAGGCCGTGAATACCAGCTGATCCTGCAGCGATTCACGGAGCTCAAGAAAAAACTGAGCGGCGGCGGCGGCGGCGACAGAAGCCGAGTTTTTTTTGGCGACATGCAGGTGACCACCAATGCAGACTGCTTGTCCAATCTGCCGTTCTCCTGCTTCAGCGTCCTGCTGCCAAACAACTGATGAAACACAGAGGAGGAAATGTTTTATGGAAGAGGAATAACAGCTGAAGACGGGGATTTGTGACAGTTACAGTTCCTCTCAGGTGACTTATCACACATGACTTGCTCTCAAACACAGCCAACTAAACTCAAACCAACTGCAGCTTTTACACAGAATCAGGTACCTTTGTTAAATCTTAAAAACAAAACTTTTTACTTTCAGAATATTATTTATACCATAATCACAGCTTGCCAAATAAATATTTATATACATATAATAATAAGACTATAGCACCTTAAAAAACCAAAGTTACAGTGCGTCACAAAATACACTTACTGTATAATATAGGTGCGAAGTCAGCATATGTACATATATACATACATATGTAATATATACAGTATATGAAGGATTTTATCGGCATATTGAGCAGTTTACAAGTCTGTGTAAAAAAGAAAGTTTGGTGAATGTGACTTTGAAAACTCAAACCTCGCAGTACAGAGGTTAAAGATGAAATATTCTCATAAGAAATCCAGTAAATGTGGATTAATCCGCCGCTGAAAATAGTCCCCAACAAATGCTCTATTTCCTCCTGTTTTGAGCAATGTTTATTAAGACTACAGTGTCCAGATGTTTTAGGAATTGACAGTTGTTTTATTTTATTTTTTTTTAAAGATTTACATTCACAGTAGGAACCAATGGGCTCCGAGCTAAGAGCCACATTATTGCAGATACATTGTTGGTTTGTGTCTTTTCATGACATCTGTTGACAGTAAGAAAAATAAGGAAAAAGCTTAAATGAAGCTATAAATGAACGAGATAAATGGCTATATATCAACTGTCTTTCCACAAATTACAAATAAGACTGTGTGAACCTATAAAAATGAAAAACATTGTTTAATTAGTTCAATAATGTCTCCTCTAACTCCCAGGAAAATGTTGAAATTTAATGTGTTATCACTTAAAAATGGTATGAAACTCATTAAATGTGACGCATGTGGTTTGTAACAGCATTGTGAGGAATTGCAGGGATTGTTTTGTGGGAAAGAAAACAGTCATTGAGTGAACTGGATGAAATTCAATGTTTGGTTGGGGGAAACGTGGATGAAAATGATGAAACTCATGCAACAGATAAAAGGTTTCGATGCCAATAATTTTGCTGTGAGGAAGTTTTCTCAACAGCTCTTCACTCTGCAGTAACGTTGGGACTATTGTTTGCAAACTGCATCTTCTCTAACGGCTGTGTCGGACCTCCTCGGCCGTGAACCTGTCATGTGCTCTTGAGCGAGGAAGTGACGCTTGTGGACGTGGTACTGGACTGTGACTGTAAAATATGAGGGAGGTTCATTTGGGAAATATGTGTGTGGTTCTATTTCTGTCACATCTCTCATTCCAGATGTTGCTATATGAACACAACTGCAGAAAAACCAGCTTGAAATTTGACTTTCTTTGCAACCTGATGAGTTCATAGGTTTTTGTACATTGCTGATGAATCTGTGAATCTGAATGTGTGTGTGAGAGATGAAGAGTTCAGTGACTCAGGACGGTTTGAATCAGGGGAATTTGAACTTTCTGCCTCTAGCAGCTCTCCTGCTGTCACAGCTACGAAGAGAAGCCGACAGTGATCTCGGTGACTTTGCCTGTGGCGTGACTGTTGGTGCCGGACGGGCTGGTTTGAGTCACCACATCTGGAACCAGTAGACAGACCTCTGGGATGTGGTAGAACAGGAGAATGGCAGCATGACTGTGCAGCTGACAAATCTGCACAAATGATGTGATGCATCACGTCAACATGGGGCGGAGTCTCAGAGGCTCTAACCAGTGTTAGTGTGGTGTTCCTAATAAAGTGCTATGTGAGTGGATATTTACAGTAAGTATAAAAACATTTAAACAAATTAAAATGTAATTGTCAGTGGATCTTCATGTGATAATGACTGAAAATAAAAAACAAATAAAAGAAGTGGTTGAGATTATTACTATCCGTTAAACAGATCAAACATGTAGAACATTGGATTGTTTCTCTTTGGATGAAAAAGTCCCTGATTTTAACTGAAATAATTAAAAAAAAAAAAAAAAACCCAGTATCACTTCTTACTAACGGAGGTCGCAGCAGGGCGACTGCTCAACAGCAGCTGTGGGTTGTTATTATTTACCGTGCAAAGAATTTCAGGATGTGATCATGAGCACAGGTGAGGCTTCTCACTGCCGGCTGACAAGAACACCACTTGTTCTTTTTAAAGAAATGAAGAAAGAAAAATGCTGGATTTGACCAACCAGGGCTGGAAAATGAAGCAGCCACTAAAGTGACAAAAACTGCAGTTCCTCTAATGGCCACTAGAGTCTGGCTCTAACAGTGAGTCAGTCCCCAGAGACTCCCGTGTTAAAATGTCCGACTTTACAGCAGAAATAAACATGTTTACAGTCGGGTACAAAAACAGTTTTGGTCTCTACAGAATTTTTTTGAATTTTACCGTCATTATTAAGCGATTTTTTTTTTTTTTTTACATGTGTCAGAAATATTTTTTCTCCTTTTCGAGATTGTTTGTTGGACTTTTCACCTTTACTGGACAGAGAGCGAAGATAAAGACAGCAAACACCGGCAGAAAAATTACAATATGTGTCATAACCGCTGGGCTCCGACTGGATACACTCAGAGATAACAGAGAACAATATCTTTAATCCACAGGGAGTGCACGACAACAATAAGTCAGTAAATCCTCTTAACAAAAAAAAGAAAAAGGCAGGAATGATGAAAAGTTGGAATAGGTGAACATGAAACATGAAGCAGGTGTTGACTACATACTGTATTTATGACTTTAGTATTGTTGAGAATGTGTCAGTCCAGATGTTGTGTAATAATGGACGGCAGCACAGTGAGTCTTACAGTAAAGGATCAGTGATCACAGGGTTTGGTCATTGGGTGATTTCATGTTTGGCAAAGAGATAAAGTGAATGATGTCTCCCAATCTGCTTTATTAAGTCCTCCGAACTTCCTCCCTCAGCGAGTTTATCTCCAGTGTGAGTGATGGAAAGAAAACCTGGAACTGAATGTCCAAAATTACAGTAAGTAACAAAAGCTGAGATGGACAGATACTGTTTTAGGGAAATTCAAAACAAACAGTGTCACAATAAGATTTGGAAATGTGGTTTCACGTTGCAAAACTGTGTATCTGAAGATATCAGAGAAAAAAACTGTATTTTCCACTAAGTATTGGAAAAGTTTAAATCTACTAACAGTTTTCAAGTTCAACTTTATCTATTATTATTTTAAAATAATATCAGTGAGTCCTTTGGGCTGTTTCATTGTGGGTTAAAGTGTTAAAACACTTAAAAACCAAACAAATAACATCTACAGAGCAAGAGAAAGCTTTACAGATTACATTTCTTTAAAACAACTGCATCAGCTCCACTCAGATCATGTTTCCTCCATCAGTGTCTCCTTCAGAAACACTGAACAGTCTTCAACAGTGGAGAAGAAACAAAGTCTTCCCACCAGTTTCCTGCTCTGAAGGAAACATCTTCACTCTTCATCGTGGGCAGCGAGACCAAACTCTTTAGAAACACATTTCTCAAGTCAAGGACTAAAGAAATGATCCCTGAAAGTATAGTCTTGGTTTGTTCTGGATGTTTCTCAGGGTCTTATATCTGCAGACGACCACTTTTACTCCTGGTGGAGTCACGTGGAGCAGGAGGACACACCTCCTACGATCAGTGACGAATTTAACTTTTATTTCGTCGGGTCATTGCCGCCATGACTCTCTGGTATTTCAGGAAATGTTGATGAAATGCCTCAGCGACCTTCACAAACTGCTGCTGTGGTTCATTTTCAGATCAACAAGCGCATGAGCATGAAAACTGATCAGTGTTGTGTTTCTTTGTTCCTCACCAACCTGCAGCAAGAGCCACCTGGTTGCTGTCCTGAACTTCAGAGGCCTGGTGAGAGGCCGTGAATACCAGCTGATCCTGCAGCGATTCACGGAGCTCAAGAAAAAACTAGGTTTTTTTTGGTGACATGCAGGTGACCATCAACACAGACTGCCTGTCCAACCTGCCGTTCTCCTGCCTCAGCTTCCTGCTGCCAAATAACTGACTTTATTTAGCTGTTTGTCAGCAGAGTCACACTGTGGGTTTACAGTTAAAAGGAGGGGGTGTTAAAATAAGGCTGATATCTGAAGGTGCAAACAGGAACACAGGAGGGAAACTAAACTCCAAACCACAGAGATTCGGGTGGAAAGTACGAATGCACAGAGAAATTTTGTCTCTGGTCACCAACAAAGTTTATCAGAATCACAACAGGTTCAACACAGATGTTACAGGAACACGTCAGCTCGGCTCAGTATGGTGAAGAAAACCCCTTTACTTCAGCTATTAATAAAACTTTATTATAAACAACTGCATCAGCTCCACTCAGATCATGTTTCCTCCATCAGTGTCTCCTTCAGAAACACTGAACAGTCTTCAACAGTGGAGAAGAAACAAAGTCTTCCCACCAGTTTCCTGCTCTGAAGGAAACATCTTCACTCTTCATCGTGGGCAGCGAGACCAAACTCTTTAGAAACACATTTCTCAAGTCAAGGACTAAAGAAATGATCCCTGAAAGTATAGTCTTGGTTTGTTCTGGATGTTTCTCAGGGTCTTATATCTACAGACGACCACTTTTACTCCTGGTGGAGTCACGTGGAGCAGGAGGACACACCTCCTACGATCACAGCTTCAACACTGACGAGACTGAGGTTTACATCCAAATGTGGCACAAAGTTGAACTGAATTTAGAGAAAATCAACTTTACAACATGTGAGTTAATGATTATTTCCATCCATTACTGTCACACTGACATCAGGAGTTTGTTCGTTGAGACAAACAGTCGGCATCACTAAAACATTACTGAAAACGAGAGTGCAACGAGGTGACGTAACTGAAAGAGAGCCAAACCTCAAACAGAGAAAAACAACCTGGGAAATGTGACAGAGATAAAATATATATGTTTGTTTTATGTATAAATTTGAGGAAGGTTAAAATCTCCTCATCACTGCACACAGATCTGATGTTTTCACTGCTGCTGTGTTTCATCTCTTCGGACGATGTTTAGGTC